CCGCAACGGTGCATCCGATGCAGACATGGTCTCTCTGGACACAGAGACACAAGATGAATTGACCTGCTGGATCCACAACCTCTCGACTTGGAATGGCAAGGCCATCTTTGGTTCCCAACCGGAGTTCACAGTGGATTCGGACGCAAGTCTCCATGGTTGGGGTGCCCACTGCAACGGTGTGACTACTGGAGGACGTTGATTGGAAGATGAATCCTGTCTCAATATTAACACTCTGGAGCTCCTGGCTGGTTCCTTTGCAATCTGGAGTTTTGCGAACGGGACTGCCAGCGCATGTATCCGGCTGCACATGGACAACGTCTCGGCGGCACGTTGTGTCAATCATATGGGCGGCACAAAGTCGGCAGTTCTGGCCCACCTGGCAAAGGACTTTTTGGGTGTATTGCTTGGCCAGGTATCTGGTGGTCCAGGCAGAATACCTCCCGGGGCTCCACAACATTCATGCGGACTGGAGTTCACGCTATCTGTCGGACAGCAGCGACTGGAGATTGGACGTAGGTGTATTCTCTGCTATCTTGTCTCTCTGGGGTCCTTCTTCGCATCCCAGTTCAATGCCCAATTGCCATGGTTCTACAGCTGGTGCCCGGACCTGGCTGCGGAGGTGGTGGATGTCTTCCTGCAAGACTGGACCGGCTCGCTCCCTTATACCTTGCCTCCGTTTGCCATGATCCCTCGGGTCCTGCTCCAAGTTTGCCGCCAACTGACTCAACTGATCCTGTTGACCCCGTTTTGGGGTACTCAATCCAGGTTCCCACAGCTCCTGGAACTGGCAGTGGATGTGCCCAGGCTGTTGCCATCTTTCCCAGACCTTCTTCTGGATCCATCGGGCCGGTGACACCCTCTTCTGCTAAACGGGTCATTGCTGCTGCTCGCGTGGAGGATTTCCAGGGTCCCTGGCACGTCCAGGGGGTTTCGGACGCAACTCGATGGCTTGTGGCGGACACATGGGCTCCCAGTACTAGACGATCATATGGGACCTCTTGGAGAGCTTGGGCTGGCTGGTGCCTGGCTCCGAGCATGGATCCCATTTTGGCACCTGTGACTGCGATCCTTTAATTCCTCACCTCGTAATTCGCGGCTGGTCGTTCATATTGCGCGATTAATTTGTTCAGATCGGCCACTTGCTTGGCTCATCAGGGTTTTGATAGTTGCCCCGCAGGCCAACACCCTTTGGTGTGCCGGTTGCTTCGGCGCTCACAACTGACGCGCCCTCCTAGGCCTCGATACTCTTCTATTTGGAATGTGTCCTGCATGTTGTCTCTCTTTAATTCCTGGCCTCCTAACTTGGACCTCTCCGTACGACTGTCAGCCAAATTGGTCTCCCTCTTTTGCCTCAATTTGTGCAAGCGGGTTTCGGATGTTCGTGCTCTGGACTACGATGCATGGTCTTTCACTCCGGACGGGGTGACCTTTTAAAATCTCCAGACGCACTAAGACGGCTATGCGGTCGGTATCGTATCCAAGTTTTTTCCAGCTGCTCCGGCGTTGTCCTGTGGCTTGTTTACGTGAGTATGAGCTTCGGACGAGTGCACATCGTTCGGTATCATCTCCACAACTTTTTCTCTCTGTTCGTCAACCATTTTCCCCTATGTCCAGTACTACCTTGGCTCGCTGGGGGAAATGGGTTATGTCGCAGGCTAGTGTGGGTACATCCATTTTTAGTGTCCATTCCTCCCGTGGTCATCAGCCACGTCTATAGTGTTTTGGGAGGCGCGTCAAAGACTTGATAAGGATGGCGGGCTGGTACTGTGAATCCACGTTTCACGATTTTTATTTTCAACCGGTCCCTCACGTTTTTTCATCAGTCGTTGGTCAGCTTTAAGCTTTCAGTATGAGCCTTCGTGTCTTGACATAAAATTATATGATTTTGCTATTTCATGACGGGAAGTCATGATTTTATCAAAGACACGGAGTCGAGTATTGTTACACCCTTCTATGTTTGTCTCACTTGATTCTCCCTCTCTGCTGACCTTTCTCTCTCATATAAGGATTCCAGGGTGTGGTAGGTATTTGTGGTGGGCACTGTGTTTATTTAACCATTTATGTTGACATGTGGCCCGGTTATGTTTCATGTTCTTGTTCTGATGCTATTACTGTAAAGTAATTTACAATACTTTCGATAGACAGAACAAGTCAAAAACGATTAACAGGGTTATTTACTAAAGTGAGAATAGTTGGGAATTCCATGTGATTTTTGAATTTAAGGCTAAAGTTGATGAATTCTAAAAATTCACTTTAAAGGAACACTATAGGGTCAGTAACACAAACCTGTATTCCTGACCCTAGAGGGTTAAAATCACCATCTAGTCCCCCTGGCCTCCATTACCCCCTAATATAAAGTAAAATCTTACATTTATTCCAGTCTGCTGGTGCTGGCTCTGTCCCTGTCAGACTCCTTAGCTGATATCATCAGAAGTGATGATCTGAGTCAATCATAATGGAAAGGATTAAATTGGTTGAGATTGCCAAGGTGGTGGGGCAGGGGGCAGAGCCAAACACCACCCTGGCCATTCAACATCACCTCATAGAGATGCATTGATTAAATGCATCTCTATGAGGAAATTTCAGTGTCTCCATGCAGAAGGCTGTGCAGCACTACCCCAGGAAGCACCTTTAGTAGCCATATGAGGAGAGGCCACTGGTGGTGTCCCTAGGACGCAATGTGTTGCGAGAGCTGATATTCCACAGGTTATCTCCACTTAAGATCCCAGTGAGGCTCAGGAACAAGTATTATAAATCCATAAGGCAAGGCTTTCAGCAGGCAAAACAATCCAAAAATATCCCAACCTCAATCCCAATGACTGGACGACACACAGCATCAGGAGCAGAACTGACTTTTAATTCACACAACCTCCTTATAAAGCATTCTCCCATGCAAGGGAGGGATTCACCATAATTAAGACAGTAGCCAATAATGTCACAGTTACCTCCCCCCAGTGTGACACATAATCCCGTTAATCATGCTGTAGTTTTCCCCGAGTTCTGGATGTACCCCAAAACAGTTAGGTACAATGGGCTAAGTTGCACCCCTGGTAGCCCTGATCTGGGTGACCAACATATCCAAAATTCACCCAGATCAGACCAGGGGTTCGGGAGTTAGGTGGAAGGGACAATTTGACCGACCGCACACAAGGTGGTAGCCGAAAAGGGTTCCATGGGTTTTGGCCCTGCGGTCGGTCTCCGTTCGGGAGGTAAAATCCACATAAATACATGCCATCCACTATTAATCTTGCATTCGCATGAATCCCCTTGTTCGGTACTTTTAACTCACTGAATGGGGGGCTGATTAGCCTCTCCGTTCGGGAGTTACGGAGCTCTGGAGGTCTCAGCAGTGTTCGGGTAATTGAGTGTCCGATTTGAGTTCCAGACACTCGACGCCCAAACACCGCTGAGGGTTTCGTGCGTAAGATGGCCGCCGCCACTTGTTCGTATGCTGAACGGCGGCCACCCAAATACATGCACAAAGTACCATTAAAAGGACCACTCTAGGCACCCACACCACTTTAGCTTAATGAAGTGGTCTGGGTGCCAGGTCGAGCTAGGGTTAACCCATTCTTTTATAAACATAGCAGTTTCAGAGAAACTGCTATGTTTATGAATGGGTTAAGCCTTCCCCTATTTCCTCTAGTGGCTGTCTCATTGACAGCCACTAGAGGCGCTTGCGTGCTTCTCACTGTGATTTTTACAGTGAGAGCACGCCAGCGTCCATAGGAAAGCATTGATAATGCTTTCCTATGTGACCGGCTGAATGCGCGCGCAGCTTTTGCCGCGCGTGCGCATTCAGCCGACGGGGCGGATCGGAGGAGGATCGGAGGAGGAGAGCTCTCCACCCAGCACTGGAAAAAGGTAAGTTTTTACCCCTTTCCCCCTTCCAGAGCCGGGCGGGAGGGGGTCCTTGAGGGTGGGGGCACCCTCAGGGCACTATAGTGCCAGGAAAACAAGTATGTTTTCCTGGCACTATAGTGGTCCTTTAACATGCGGTTAGAGAAGTGTGAAGCCTAATAAGGTGCACACTTCTCTCTGGGGTGGTCTACTGGTTCGGTAGTTTCATTCATATGGGATACGGATGAAACTAATGAACAATCATACGAATACTACATACACTTTTAACTATACAGGAAAATAAACACACAAATTACAGTTTAAACACAGTCTTTTAGGACAGCCGTAATACCATCCGCTACACAATGTAAACACTTCCTTTTCTCTGAAAACACAGTGTTTACTACAAAAAGCATGAAGCGACTGGCTATACTCACCAGAGCAACTACATTAAGCTGTATTCGTTATTATTATTATTGCCATTTATATAGTGCCAACAGATTCCGTAGCACTTTACGAAATTATGAGAGGGGCATTTAACTATAAATAGGACAATTACAAATAAACTTACAGGAACAATAGGTTGAAGAGGACCCTGCTCAATCGAGCTTACATTCTATAGGAGGTGGGGTGTAAAACACATTAGGACAGGAATTTGCAGTCAAAGGAGAGAGCAAGAGACAGGTACGTGAGGTAGAGGTTACTCTAGGAGGCCATAAGCTTTCCTAAAATTATGGGTTTTAAGGCACTTCTTAAAAGATGCAAGACTAGGAGAGAGTCTGATGGTGATAGGCAGGCTATTCCATAGGAAGGGAGCCCCCCGCGAGAAGTCCTGCAAGCGTGAGTTAGCCGTACTGGTGCGGACAATGGACAGGAGGTGGTCACTGGCAGAGCGGAGAGACCGAGAAGGGACCTATGGATCTGTGAGGAGATATAAGAGGGGCTAGAGTTGTTCAGTGCTTTATAGGTGTGAATTAGTACCTTGAATTGACTCCTATAGCAAACAGGAAGCCAATGTAAGGACTGGCGGAGGGGTGAGGTGTGAGAGAACCGACTAGAGAGGAAAATCAGTCTGGCAGCAGCGTTCATTACGGACTGTAGCGGTGCAGTAAGGCTTTTGGGAAGACCAATCAGGAGAGGGTTACCATAATCCATGCGGGAAATTACTAGAGCATGGACAAGCTCCTTGGTAGTATCTGGTGCAAGAAAGGGGCGAATGCGGGCTATGTTTTTAAGATGGAATCTACAGGATTTGGCAACATGCTGGATGTGAGGCTCAAAGGTGAGGCCAGAATCAAGTATGACGCCAAGACAGCGCGCTTGCAAGGATGGACTGATGTGGGTACCACAAACTTGAAGGGAGAGCGAAAGAGGAGGATCAGTATTAGGAGGAGGAAAGACAAGGAGCTCAGTTTTAGAGAGATTGAGTTTCAGAAAGCGGGAGGACATCCAGTCAGAGATGGAAGAAAGGCAAGCAGTGACACGTTGCAGGACAGCAGGGGAGAGGTCCGGGGAGGAGAGATATAGCTGGGTGTCATCAGCATACAGATGGTAGTGGAATCCAAAAGAGGTAATAAGTTTGCCAAGAGAGGCCGTAAAAGAGAAAATAGAGGGGGACCAAGGACAGAGCCTTGGGGGACTCCAACTGAGACAGGACGAGGGAAGGAGGCATCATTAGAAAAAGAGACACTGAATGAGCGTTGGGAGAGATAAGAGGAAAACCACGAGAGGACAGAGTCACAGAGACCAAGTGATTGAAGAGTTTTAAGAAGGAGAGCATGATCAACGGTGTCAAAAGCCGCTGAGAGGTCAAGAAGAATTAGTATGGAGTAGTGGCCTTTGGATTTAGCTGCGATTAGGTTGTTAGTAACTTTGATAAGCGCAGTCTCAGTAGAGTGGAGAGGGCGGAAGCCAGATTGAAGAGGGTAAAGGAGAGAGTTGGAATTGAGGAAATGTGACACAGGGGTAAAGACAAGTCTTTCTAGGAGCTTTGAGGAAAAAGGGAGCAGGGATATGGGACGATAGTTAGAGGGGGTGGACAGGTCGAGGGATTTTTTTTTAGTATAGGTACTACAGTGGCATGTTTAAGGTCAGCAGGGACAATGCCAGAAGAGAGAGAGCAGGTGAAGATGTGTGTTAATGAAGGCACAAGACAAGTGGAGAGAGATCTAATAAGGTGAGATGGGACAAGATCAAGCGGGCAAGTGGTGGGGCGAGAGTAACAGAGAAGAGCAGCCACCTCTTGGTCAGTAGCCGGGAGAATGTCTGAAGGGTAGGAAAGGCATGATCTATGTGTGGTTGAGAAACAGAATGGCAAGGAGGGGAGAATTCTTTCTTTAGCTGTTCAATCTTGTCAGTAAAGTAACATGCAAAGGTATCAGCAGTAAGGTTAGTTTGGGGGTGGCCACAGCAGGGCAAAGAAGAGAATTAAAGGTGTCAAAGAGACGCCTGAGATTGCGGGAGCATGAACTAATGAGAGAGGAAAAGTAGGACTGTTTGGCAAGGGCTGCGCTGTATGAACACAATATGAATCTATAATGGAGAAAGTCTGACTGGGTGTGAGACTTCCTCCAGGAGCGTTAGGCACAACGGGAGCATCTTTGCAGGTAGCATGTTGATTTAGCATGCCATGGTTGGGGGCGGGTCCTCCTTGAGGTGCTTGTTTGGAGCGGGGCTGCAGCGTTCAAGGCAGAGGTGAGGGTAGTGTTATATGCGGAGATGGCCAGTGAAGGACAGGAGAGGGAAGGGATGGACAGCAGTCGTGAATCAATACCAGCTGACAACTGCTGGAGATCAAGAGAATTAAGGTCCCTCCTGAGTTGAGGAGGTTAGGCTGAGGTTGTTGGGTGAGGGGGTACATGAGAGCAAATGATAAGAGCATCAGAAGAGGTTGTTCTGATGACTATTGTGTCCCTTTAAATTCACTATGCATTCTCAACAATTCTTAGTTTAGTAAATAACCCTTTAAAGATTAATGGTACAGGACATGCATATCTGTCCATTTTATGTATTTCTAAAGCTAAGCTCCCACCTAAAAATGATGAAAGAACAGCAGCTCAGGCTCATCCCTTCTGTCATACATCCAATTCTTCTACTTAATCTACAAGCAAACAATAGTGTTTTGTGTGCTGCACGGGTAACTGAAGTAATATCGTAGGCTGCTCTGCTGTGCTATTGTTACATTTCATTATTTTACCTTGCCTTTATTACTATATATGAACACAGAATGAACACAGAAGCCAGAGGATGGAATCCCACTGCTCCTGAAATTCATAACAAAGCAGAATAATTGTAATGAAATAGACAGAATGCGCTACATTTTCTCTAAGGGTATCTCAGCGTATGTATGAATATAAAGCATTTTAAAACTACATGATTTGTGTAGCTTTGAAGACATTTTAAAGGGTCACCTTAAATATTTAAATAGGTTTGTTAAAGAGACAATCATAGCACTAAAACTGTTACAGTTTAATATAGTGCATAGCTGCTGTCACTCTGACAAATGCCGTTTGTGAAAAACAGCAATGATTACATTTGTCACTAAGAATACCTCTAATGACTGTCAATCGCACAGCCATAAGAAGTTATCCCTCGTGGAGACTTTAATTTACTGAAATTAAATCCCGGTATTGGCTTTCGCAAGGAATTATCACCAAAATTACACACAGGCAAATACAAACATATATACAACAAGCCTTGACAAATATATATTTTTGAGTCGTAACATTGCTAGGTGACGTTTTGGTCTCTACAGTAACGGCACTTTTGCAACTGACGCCCTCCCAGATTAAGTAAGAATGCCTTGAGAACTTAAATTGGTCCCACCAGGCACTCGCCACATGCTACCCTGCCATCAGAAGCTTCTGCCAATAATGCCCACCAATAGCAATCGCTTAGTGCATCTAACCGAACCTTTACAGGAGTTTCTGACACCACGGAAGGTAGTGATGTGTGTCTGGCAGGACCTAGGTAAGTTGTCCAACCGATTGAGAATGTAGTGGTTATGGTGCTTGAAGTGTTCCTTTAATTCAGCATTTTTAATAGATGGACCTTGCGTAGATCTTGGTACATATACAAATTAACATTGAATGGATAGCAAGGGATAGTGGGCACAAGCTTCCTTTTTCATTACTTCTACATATGTCATCTCCCCACCCTATGAATGCCCTCACCTTAAAAACACCTAAAAACCCCTTGATGCACTGCATTTTCATTACTGAAAAGGACAGCACAAATCAGCTAGACTCATCACCATCACAATTGTTGTAAATATGTTGGGATATAAAATATGTTGTGATCCAAAGTCTCTGAATATCGATAGTTACCAGTGAATGATATGTCAAAATCCAGTATAGAAATCAGGTACGCAGAAAGCAGCTGGCACACCATGGATTGTGGTTATAGTGACTTAATTCGAACAAATAAAATCACTGGTTTTAAAATCCACAATGTGTACAAGATTTATTGCTCTCATTCCCCTTTCTGCAGACATGGGGATTTTCTCTAATGTTGTCTGTCTCTCTGAGATGTTGGAAACACTTGTAACATCACCTTGTGAGCTGAAGTTGGGAATCACAGCTTTCCTTTCTTTCATGGTCTAATTAATTATAATACAAATGGAAAGCGTAGAACGCATACTAGACTTTTAAATGTGGAACTATTATTATATAATGTCTTATCTCTTCAGAAATAAAATGCAAAAGAACAAGAGTGAAGGGGGGGGGATGAAGATACGCATGGCATCAAAGGGAATTTGGCCAGGGCTTCACGGCGTGAGGATTGAGAGGAAAAGCAGCCGTGACATTTCATCCTCTGTGATTGGAAATATAAGACAAAAACAGCAGGAGAGAATCAGGACTAAAGGTGTGGAACCGATAACAGATCTTTGTAGTTTTGCTGCTGAGGAAACTTCCACTATTTATATGGAAATTTGATATAACTTCTTAAAATCACAATTATTATTATTATTAAAGTTTATAATTATTTTCATTACTCTTTTATCATTTCTACCTTATGATAGATATATATATATATATCTATCATAAGGTAGAAAACCTTGTTTCTAAATACAGGACTTAACCAGGGGGTTGAGAGGTCCCAGGCAATGAATAATCAACCACCCTGAAAATACTAAGGCTGCGGTGTACATGCAAATCTATGTATATATGCTTAATTAGAGCATGTACACAATACTTTGTTCAATCTAATGTATGGCTGGACAGGAAATGGAATGTAGCCCCATGTAGCATAAGCACAGCTTAGTGGAAAGGGGCATTGATAGGGGTTAGGAGGTGAGCATAGGAGCAAGCTAGTGGGATTGGTTGATGGAGGGTAAGGGGGCTGGGCTATATAAATAGGCAGACATCTTGGAATAGTCAATTTTCATTTGCCTACCTGGCTGAGTTTGTCCCACCCTCCCTCCCTGGGTTTTGGTTGTAGCTGGGTTTTCCCGTTTTGTCACAGCGGCGGGATAGGGAGCTGAAGGAGATGAAATAGGCTCCCCATTAGGAAGGTTATGTAAATGGTTATTGATATGTTTGGTAGGTTTCAAGTCCTGAAGGTGGCTCAGAACCTGATGGGGTTTATAATAAATGATGTGGTTTATAATAAATGGTTGGCACTTACAGTGATGTTTATGTTGGTATAATGTTATATATATATATATGTTATTTATAGTGGGGTCATTGTCTTTTATACCTAACTGAAGTATACGGAAGCGAAGGCGGGGCATAGGGCAATGACCCAAAGTTTCTATGTTAAGTTATTATTTATATATTTAATAAAGCTGTAGACAATTTTACCCATATACCCTAGTGTCTGTGTTTTATTGGGGAAGGTATGTGGGGGTTTGTCCAAGGTTTCAGATGCCCATATGGCAACGATACACCGGTCATGTGAGGAGTTATTCATATTTCCTTTTGTTTAAAATATGGCAAAACATATATATAATTCAATAGCACATATGGCACAATACCAATCAAAGCAGCTTAAATACTAGATGAATACATCAAAGAGGAATTATAAAATATGATAGACAGATAGAGATATAGATAGATAGACAGATAGATAGCTAGATAGATAGCTACACCAGGGATGTCTTTAATATTGACTGGACCCTGGGCAAGCATTTTCTTGGGCCCCCTGGAGCCAATTTTACTAACAATATCATTAGTGACATACCCCAAATTCTAATCAATAAAATTACTTAATTATGTATATTTTGTATTATTTTTATATACATATATATATATATATATATAATTTAATTCTAAGCGTGATATATATATTAATATCAAAATACAGTTAGAATAAAATTACATATATATATATATATATATATATAATATCTTTCAAATCATTTTTACATTTTATTTATTTTTAATAAATTATTATTTTTTTATAATATATATATATATACACAATATATATAGTTATTTTATATATATATATATATTATATATACGTG